ACAGTAAACATTTGCCTGGAAGAAATCACACCAAGTTATCAGCAGAGAGAACATGTAGATCTCATAAGTTCTCCCTGTTGACGAAGTTTTTCCCATAGTCACATAGGAAAAAATCTGGGGGAACATAAGCTAGACAAAACCATCAAAGTAGATGCATAACTAATTGGAAAAGCATGCATTGAGATGTACTTAATGGTTTCCTGTCAAAAATGAAAGAACATTGAGCGTGGTTCCAGAGAGGTCTGTCCTGAGTTCACTTCTACTCAATATTTTCAGTAATTGCCTGGGTAATGGAATAGAGAACTTGCTTATTAGATCTGCAGAAGACACTAAGAGCTACATATCTGAGAACAGGACTAGAATGCAGAAGGATTCTGGCAAATCGAAGTAATGGTCTGAAAAACGGGACAACACAGCAAGAAGACTACAAAGTTTACTCTTCAGAAATAATCAACCTCATAATTATGGAATAAGGGGCTAAGTATCAGTTCTTCAAGGAGGAACTGAAGATTACAATGGACTACAAATCAAAAGTGAGCAACTAACATAGCAATGCAAAATCAGGTGTACTGGGACATAAATAGGTGTTTTGCACATACATGACACCAAAGCAGCCCTAACACTTGACTCGCAGCTAGTAATATCCCAGCTGGCACACAGTCTAGATTTTAGCACTGCACTTTAATACAATTACAAACCCATTACACGCCAAGATGAGGACAAAAATAATCAGAGGTTATGGCTAAGAGGGAATGATCCAGTTTTATGGTGGGAAAGGACAAACAGCTACATCGTGAAATTGTAACCAGGTCATGTCATTTGTTACCAGAGAGGCTATTTACTGTGTCTGCCCTGCAATGATAGCAAAGAACTGGGAGAGATTTCGGGATGGATTCCTCAACAATAAAAGTTAAAGATCATCTGATGAGCACTATTCTTGTCTCATAACAAATACACAGCCTAGCTCTTGAGACTTCATTTTCTCAGACTGTTCGTGTATAATGGGCAATTCTTCTCCCTCTCAAAAATCAGTTCAGCCAACATGTTTTAGCCCTCAGTAAAAGGGTATCAGCATTGAGACCAAGCACAGCACAATTCTCATTCTAGTCCCCTGAGCAGTCTCAAGACTTCAGTTCTGACCTGCAACACTGCAAGTAAGCATTCCTCACCTGCAGTTTGCTGAACTGCATTTCTAGCCTACAAACTAGCCGTAGCTAAAACACAACAAATCCTTCTCACTAAACCATCTCTCCCCAGAGAGCATTTTTGCGGCTGTCAGAGGAATACCTGTCACAAATGAGGCACAAAAGGAGTTCCCTGAACACTCCGTTGCACAGTGGTAAGAGCTGCAGCAATTTCATAGTTTTTTTTCTTCCCCCATGCGTTGTATCCAAGGTACCAAGGAATGGCTAAACATTCAGAAGACTTTTCAGCCCTCCACAGCGCTGGATCTCAACTGTCTTTTCTCCTGGGTTTTTTTTTGGTTTTGTTTGTGTTTTGTAGTCCCAACAAGAAGCACTGCAATACTGGCAGCAGCCAGCCTTTGCAAGCTGTTGCAAACCTATTGAGCAAAAAAATGATCTCTGCAGAAGAAAGATGTGTTAGGTGACAAAAGTCACTTCTAACGGAAAGCGTCGTGAATCAGTCTGCCATGAAGCACAACCTGAGAGAAAGCAAAGAAAAGCAACCAGCCAGGGCTTCGATTCTCAGCACAGAATAGGCTGTCTCATGATACAGTGAGAAACTCCAGACCCCAAGGCATAAGCAAAGGTAGGTCAGTGTTACCACAACAGCTCACAACATTGAGGCTGTTTTGGGTGTTAAGGAAAAACACAGTTGGTCCCCACACACTCAGTAAGATGGATTTACCAAATTGAGAACAAAACCATTAATGGCTTTTCCTGCAATTCCTCTTCCAGTGGGAGTATGTTAACCCCACATGCATGTACGAACATCATTCTCAAACAAGATCTGTAGAAAAACACTTTGGTACCTAACATTTAAAGCAAATTACTGAGCTACTGTAATAACTTACTGCAAGAATAATAATAATAAAAAATAATACCACACCAAAAACCTGCTTCCTTTCCCCTTACTCACCCCCATCTCATCTACTGTACTTGTTTATATTTTTGTGTTTATGCCCCAGAAACAGCATTAGGACTGGAAGCCCGACAACTCTTTCTGCCATGTGTGGCTGCACCTTTTCAAACAGAGTACTTTAATCTAACAAACTGTCAGCGACGAGCCCACATACTGACAGAACGGGCTCAAGAGGCTGCCCAGCACAGAGTACACAGAAAGCCACTTTGTTGATGATGAACGGCTATTGCCCCTACTTGAAAAAGAACAGACTGGTCCTTAGTTCAGATTTCATCATACTCTCCTCTCCACCGGGAGAGCTTCTGTGGAGTCTGGTGTAACTGAAGAGAAAGTCCTGTAATATTTGTGGATGCTTTTTCCCCCAAGATAGAGGCATGTTAGTTGAAAAAGACTTATTACAAGTTACTTTTGCTGTTCCTGATTTGTTTTTTATTTCTGAGAGTTACAAGAGTGTACGGAGGGAGGATTTGTGCCTTATGTTGCTTCTGTCACAGACACCTTAGTCTCTGGATTTTTCTCGAAACTTTGCAGATTTCCACACTGTCCTTAACAATATTTACATTTACTGCCAGACTGAGCTTTGTAGAGTTTGCACTGCATGAAAACAGGCATAAGCTAAAGAGCTGCACTTAAAATGTCCTGTTTTTTGCTGGAAGACAAGCAAGCCTGGATAACAGGCTTGATGACCTCATGGCTCTCCCCTCCATTGGCTCATAGAAATGTTGAGTCTAAAGAAACTGAACACTTCTGCAGCAAATGTTTTAAGAAGCCTGATTTTAACAAAAACCCTCTGGGAGAGGGAAAACAACCATAAAACCTGGCAATGAGACGTGGCAGAACACCATGAAGTTTGAAGTTTGCATGCTTTTAACTTCTGCCATAGCCTCTAAAGACAAGTGGGAATTTATCACATGAAAGACAAAACACACTCATCCAGTGGTTAGTCAGGATACTGTCAGGGACTTAGTCACTTGCTCAAATAAGCCTTGATATTTTTTCCCCCCCACAGAAACAACATTTAATATTTATAAAAGCAAAAATAGGACCAACAAGACCAAGTCAACAAGAAATTTAATACACTTTCATTGCAGTGCTTCACCTGTCAGTGTGTATACACCATGCTTTCCAAATGCCTGCAAACTTAACCTCTCTGGTGCAGCTGGGGAAGGGAGAGCGAGACCCAGATTATACCCTGCCAAGTGCCCAAATGGAGTAAAACTTCTGGTGACTCAGATGAGAAAAATGCAAGCAAGGCTAAGGGGAACAACCCACGAGGCACAACAATGGAAACTCCCAAGTCAAAGAGCAAAACTCCTTACTAGGAAACAGCTCACAAGGAATTCTGATCCTCGAGTTTCTAGTAATGTCTATTTCACTATGGTGAGACATAAAGCACTTAATTAGTTCATTAAACTTTCTCCAGCTTATTTCTGGCAGATTCTCCTAAATTTAGCAGCTTCGCCAATTTACTGAAATCACCGAATATGAAAGGTGCAATATTATCAGTCCTAAAAAAAAACAAGTAAAAATTAATTAAGCGTGTAATGCAAAGTTGAAATTCGCTCTAACAGGCAAAAAGGAAAAAAGCTCATTTCTGTACAATCACAAATCCTGCCACAGTTCAGACAGTGCCTTCTTGATGTGGATGTTTACAGTGCTTACCAGTTTCCAAACTGAAACCAGTTTCTTACACAAACCATTTAAACACCTATAAGTGATACCAATTTTAATGTCACTACCCACTAGTTGGATTCTGCTTGCAACAATGACAGGTTTTACGGACCCAAAGCAAAAATAGCTAAGCAATTGGAAGGAAGATCTTTGTTACTAGAGATATTTCTGAGAAATTAAACTCCTTGCATGACATTTCAGGCTGGATTCCACCTCAAACCTCCTTGCAGCAATTTCCCAATAACATCCATTTCTTTCTAAGCTAACTATGAGGGTAAACACATTCTGACTTTTTTTTTTGCCCCAGCAATAAAAATTGGAGTATTGATTTGCTTCACCCAAGACTGCGTAAAGCAGTTTTGCCAAACTGGAAAAACTCTTAGAACAGGCTTCCTAGCCTGTACACGAACTGCAGTTATGCAGGAAATGTCTAACTACTAAAGGGATTAGGTTAGCTCTGTTCCTATTAATGCAACAGAGTCTGTGGCAATTACAGCTGTATTCAACACTTCCAGCATGCTGAATTTCTTAGGGCAGTTTCTATTACAGATTCAGAGATGCTACTCGTTTTCTAAGTCCTCAGAAAACCACTGCAAAGAAAATCACAGGGACTTAGGCTGAGCCCCACTTTAGAATTTCTCCGGACTATCTCAGGTCCTACTGCATTTGTGGTGCCTCATGGTTCAGCGACAAGGAACAGCACAGTGAAGAATATTGGTAAAAATCCATCTCCTCAGGTCAGTGTTACTTAAGATAAATTTCTGCAAAGCTACAGGCTGGACATCAAGGTAGGAGTGCCCTTACACCACGTTCATTTATATTCTATAGATTGGTAGTTGGTTTTTGTTGGTTTTGTTGTTTGTTTTTTGTTAGTTTTTTTAAATATGACACATTAGTGACAATCTGTAAGGCTCACTGGTGTTCAGCAACACAGATCAAAAAAGCTTCTGTGTTTAATTTGGCATTTTCATGGGCATCTTTATGCCCCATGAAAAGCTTTACCAGTTTATTCCACACTACTGCAGTATGCAGCTCAGGGGGTCCTATGCGTGTCGCAAATCTCCTCGGTAGTTTAACACACACCAAACAGACACCTCATCTTTAAACATGTGAGCAGATCTCAATCTTTTTTCAGAGAAGGATTTAGAAAGATTGAAGTAAACTGGTTTTAAACATTACTTTTCTCAAGTCAAGTGAAGAGGTGAAAAAAGGAAGGGGGGGGGTCCTTACACAGCTTCCATCTCCAAGTCATCCTCGTCGTCTTGAGAAAGCTGTAGATAAGGGTTGTCTGATGCTGGACGGAACTTGTACCCAGTGAGAACAAAGAACACAAGTGTTGCCATTTCATCCAGCAGCTGCAAGTAAAAACAAAAGATTGAAGTTCAGTCTGTAATCCTTCGTAGTCATGAAACATTTCTCCTCATTCATAAGGTTCAAGATTTAGTGGCCAAGAAGCCTGTGCCACAGCAGAAAAAGTAATTCCTGTCCTGTTATAATTAATCCCAGGCTAAATGCTGTCAAGCCCTTTGTTCTTTCAGCTTTCCCTGTCACTTTAAATACAGTTAAAGTTCTAGCCATCATTCCAGTGCTTTTAAATAACTACCATGAGACCTGGCTTTTAAATGAGGGGGGAAAAATCATCCCGAAGTTGTTTGGTATTTTCAACAGTTAATGTATTCCAAAGATTCCCTGCACGCTTACTTGGATTATATGTTAAGAAACCAAGTATTTAAGAGTCACTAGGCAAATAAAGCCTGTAGATGGAAGAGTGAAAGCCTATTTCATTGCCTCTCTGGGGCCTCAATTACACAGGGCAAACCTGACAAATTTTTTTCTCCTTTGTATGTTCTTGATTAATTTCCTTCACATATTTCTAAATTGAAAGACTAAAAATCAATAATGCAATTACTTTCAGACATCTCATGTATAATCCAGCAGCCTTGCTGGACAAACATAAAACTAAAAATATATTCCTGCCACCTTAGGCACATCAGTGATAAAAAAAAAATCAGAAGACAGGGTCCAGCAATGTGTTTTCAGATGTTCTACTACAACATGAGGAACAATTTATGTTTTAGGGTTTTGTTGGTGCAGTTATATTTAAAGAATAGTAGGGAGAAAAAAAAAATAACAAGGAATGGACATCTTTCCTTTGGTGGCAAATACCTGGTACAGCCATTTCCACTGGAATGGAACAGCAATCTTTATGAGAATTGCAATGATCCGTGTGAAGTAAATGTAACACACAATCTGGGAAGGAAAAAGAGAAAGCATGATAAGAACAATAGCACCATCCTTACAGAACCTCTTTTTTCCAGAGAAATAGCTCAAGCAATTCCCAGACAACTCATCATGCCAGATTAGCCTTATTATGCTCCTTGATAAACATGGAAGATATAGGCTGAGGGCTCTACTGCTTGCTGAACATCCAAATGACTCAAGCTATTGCCAAAATATTTAAGTTATAGCAGGAAAATGCTTTACATATTAAGATTTTGTAGAACTTGAAGAATCCCGATTGTAATTTATTACTCTTATCACTTATAAGAGTCTGAAATGAGGCTGTTGGAAATCATTAAGAAGCCTGTGCTCTCTTGGAAGGTATGCTCATGGCTCCCACCGACTTAATCAGAAACTGCACACGTGCATGTCAAGACACCATTTGGTCCCAAGTTTAATTTTTAGTAAGTTTACAGTACGTTATTCAAGCCCATCAATTCAACTGGCAGCTCAAGCTGTCTCCAGAGGAAATCAGTAAGCGTTACAAATAGCTGGAACCAATTTAAAGATAGACAGAAGGATGCAAGCACTAGGAAAAGAAGGGCAGCTGCTTTGAAGATTGTAACCCGGTTGACCAAGATGCCAAAGCACAGCACTGCGCAGAACTAGGAACATCTCCACCACATCCACCAGCTATAGTAACTTCCAACAAGTAATCCATCAAAAGGCTTGAATGGCTTCTAAGTGCTCTGTATGCATGCGTACGGGTGTTTTACTTACCATTACATAGTAATGTCTGAAAAGCTTCAGCTTTGCTAGGTTAATGGCAGCTATCAAGAGAAAACAAAAGTCCATCAGAAAATTGTTAAAATGAGACAGTTTCTTTTGATGCCTATCTGCAAGGTAGGCAAGTCGTCAAAACCAGGCCGCGGGTAATCCCAGACTAGAAGAGTTCGTCCCACAGCCCATTGGGCACTCTGAAGAACTCCAGACTGGCTTGTCTACGTACTGGACAACTCCCAGACTGGGGTGAATTCCATCTTATAAAGGCAACTCAATGAGATCACTTTTACATTAAGTTCTATATGCACACACTCTGCATATAGAGCCTTCCTCTAGTGCTCATCTGTACATAGCCGGCTACATACTGTCACCTCACTCCTGCCAGAGGGGCCACATCACATGACATCGCTTCCTCGAAAATTCGTATCTTTTCTACGATCCTTCCTGCCCTGCTCTGTGCCCTCAGCTGACCTGAGCAACTCTGAGGGAACTGCAGCTCTGGGAATCACTGCTTCTTGTTGACCAGCAGCAGTATTTGAACATCTTTGTACCCTCTATCATTCATGGCTCAGTCACAACGTACAAGTGAAACGGGAAGTCATACTAAATAGTTCTCATCGCAAATGCATGTGTTTCAGTCACAAACCGTGTAAGCTAAGGCCCCAGGCTAATCTGTGTTTATTGGACAGATTACATCAGCTCTTGAGGAACACAGCAGATATTCACGCGAACGAGCGGAGGTCAACAACAGCTGTCAACTCTGGTTTGAGAGTCAGGTTTTATAGGTGCAGCAGGATTACAGACTCCTGATGCTTTTGTGACAACAGGAGAGGCAAATAGTCCAAGATACGTTGACAGCATGCAGAGATGCAATTTAGAGCCAACGAACACAAGTTGCCAGTTAGGAAAGTACTGCCACATATATACGGGTATTCCCTCCGAGCCCTCCTTACAATTTTTTATCAGATGTGAAAGTGCAACACATTGTGCTTAAGTTCACCTGCACTCCCTCACAGAAATCATCCACTGCAAAAAGCAAGTTTATAAATAAGGTTGCATGTATTTGCACATAAGATTTTCTAGGTTCCCAACAGTGCAAAATATAGTATTATACATCAGGAAGAGGAGGGCTAACAGCCACCAAAAAAAATGTTTCGCTTCCTGTGACAAAAAGAATGAAACTTTCCTTATAGAAAGGTAAATCTCCGCCACGTGGAGTCCCACGTTCCCACTACATAACCTACAGTGAAGGCAGAAAACATTCTGTTATAAACCTACTTTGTATAATCTAGAGATCAGGAGTCACTTTCCAAAACTTACCTTTAGTGTTCCAGAGAACAACTGAAAGCTATGGACACTGCGAGACAGATACAAACGCTCCTTCAGCAGACATATGACAACAGCACCTGACTTACACAAGGCATAAACTGACTGATGGGTAGATAAAACTAAGCTAAGAGCAGTTTTGATTTAGTGCTGGCTAGTGGCTTCTACACATTTCCAAATTGTATGTTTAACTTTTGACAGAGCACAGGGCATGTCAGGAAGAAAAAGCAGAGCCAGAGCTCAAGAGGAGAAAAGCAAACCTTATTTGTGAAAGAACACCACGTTTGTTTCCACACAGCTAAAGCTCGTACTGTGCACCACTCATCTGAACACCAGTCAGACTGGGTTGCCTTTGGGCAAGACTGTGCTCATGGGGACCAGTGTACAGCACGATATGTCAGAAGACCAGTAGTTCTCAGTTTTGGGAGGATGCTCCCTTCTGGACTGCAATATGAAACACTGAACACAGAACAGCATCTACTTTGCAATATACAGTTCTGGACTCCAGAAAGCGATGCCCAAGCTGGAGACCTGCATCTGTAGAGTTTCGACAGTGAAGCATAGAGCACTTCACTGGGCAACAGATGGCAAGACTTGGAACTGTTAGAACAAGAATCTAACTAAATCCTTGGTAGCTAAATCAGCCCCGAGACATTGGTTTAGCTGCTTCTCTCTCATTTCCGTCCCTTGCAAAAGCTAGTTTCCCCACATTTAAACAGCAAAAATTTACAGATTTTCACGGGTCTAGTGCTCTACCAGATAACAATGTTAAAAGCTTTTCATAATACAGTTGGAGAAAGATTAAAGCATGCAAATATGCAGGAGAAGCACATTAAGTAGTGAATCAGGGAAGCAATATTGTCCTATTTAAAGGAGAGCTACATTAAGTGTGACCATGAAGATCTTGTGATTTACCACATACCGGTTTGTACACAGAAGGATCTATTTTGAACTCAACGCATTCATCTTCAAGAACTGCCACCAACTGGTGCAATGACAGGCCATGAGAATTACCAGGCTTTGTAGCTAAAGGAACACCAACTCAACAGCTGTGATTCAAACTGCCAGCCCCTCAATGCCTTACAGTCAACAACCAAGTGAGCTGGAGAGTCATTTCTGTTGGATTCGGGCAGTGCATGGGAGGGAAGGATAGTGAAGCCAGAGATCTTGCTGCCAACTGAAGTGTCACCATGCCACTTCTTCCAACTGATAGGGCACAGCTCAAGATCTCACCGACTCATCATGATAATCAATAGCAAGGAGTCATAGGTTGGTACATCTACGTATCTAGATCGACTAAGCATAGAAAAGAAGGATGAGGGGAGGGGAAAAAGATAACCACCACCAAGTAGAAAGACTGAAGAGTCACCTCTGGAACCTGGCTTGCTTATTTCTCATAACTAGATGCTCTCTGGCTGCCTCAACTTCAGGAATACTTCTCTCTACTATCAGATACTAAAGTCAGTATTATTGCATGTCTACAAAAAAAACCCCATCAACCTGGCAGAACTTTGTTTTTTTTAAACAGCTCAAAGTTACAGCACACACTGTTCTGGAGAAAGTCTAAAATCATCATTGCTTGGCATCAGCAGCCTGTGAAATGCTTTTTCACAGGCTGAATGTGCTCCAAGCAGTAACACTTGAGTCTTGCTATGCTGGACATTTTAGGACTTTGATTCACCTTAGCCCGGCAGTCCAGACACTGACAGCAACACTCGCAAGGCGAGAGGCTCGGCCAGCAGCTGTCACTTACAACTTGCATCACTTGCAGCCCCAACCTGTAAAGATGTGATAATACAGCAGCAATCACAGCATGCAGTAAAGGTTGGGTAAATTTATGTTTCAAGTATGATAACCACTCTTCAAGGAACAGTACCTTAACTGCAGAGAAGGAGGAAAAAAAAAAAAGACACTTTCTACCAAAGGCTTTACAAATGAATTCATACCTGTGTTCCATCTCTTTCACAGAGTAATTAAAAAGATAAAAGCCATCCTCCAAGAAAGGTTTATAACAACATCTATACCTTGCTTCCCTCAGTTTCCCATTTCTATCACCATTTACTTTAACAGCTTGTGCCTGCAATAGCCTGATCTGCAGCGATCAAAACATCGCATACCACAGTATTTTTAAAATCAGTCTCTTTTTCAGATTGTCCCCTGTGCTCGTTTCAAATGCTGATATACACTACAAGATGGGGAAAAAGAAAGTCAGACCATCCATTACAGCCTTGCGCACCATCAGACAATAGCTTTTTGATGAATAAATCTGATCTTTTTAGAACACGTATGTAATAAAAATAAGAGGACTGCAGCTGAGGACATACGGAGCTCAAATCCAGACAATCCGGTACGCAAGGGCAAATCATAATCCATCTTGAGCAAACATGCTGAAGTACAGCTAAGAATATTTCTTCAATGCTTTGCACGTTGTGTTAACTCTGGTGCATCTGAGATGCAATTCGTGCCACTAAAACAGTAAACGGAAGCTTTCTATTCTCCCCAAGAATGAAGACACACATGTAGATTTAGACCTCAAAAAGCAACTCCAGGAGTAACTCTGAGAAGTATGGCTCTATAATCTCTGCAGCACTCTGCTTAAAAGCATTCCTAGACTCGAAAGAAGAATCAAGCAGATACAGTCTCCAAGTGTCATGCATAAGAAGGTGGCACAGACTAGTTAATCTTAAATATTCTGAAACACATTACCTTTTGGCACAAAAGTTCCCCACCAGGGTCATAAGAAAGTCCAAAGTACAGGATAAGCAATGTATCTCCAACATGTAACGGCTACATCAACCCTGGATAGCTATCTAGGGCGCCTGGAAATGGTACGCTGAAACATAACAGCCCTATTTCATTTCTTAACATTTCCCAACTCTCTAGCGTGATCCATTGTGATCTCGACACTTAAATCACTAAGCTTTATCTCAAGGTTTGAGATGCTCATGTATTGCCTGGAGCGTGTTTACCCCTGGGTCACCCCCTCCTCCTGACTGGAGATCTGCAGAGGTGTTTCAGCATGGGTCTCCAGGGAGCCATCGCCTCCAGTGTCTGCTGAGCTCTACTAAGCAGAGAGTGTTCCGCACCACGCAGGAACAGGCTCTTTGTTCACAGCATTTTCATGATACAGGAGCAGGAAGACACCGAATAGAGCAAATGTTTTTTTCCCCCTGACACAGGGCAAGTATGAAAGCATTAGTCACCATTTGCCCACTGCACAGCACACAGGGAATGTTGCCTGGGAGCTAGACACTGCAATGTATTTCCCCTAATTCTGCTGCCAGCTATGACATGCTGCAGTGCTTCAGGAAAATAGCTAACTGTTCGTGATCAGACTGCACCGAATTTCGCATGTCTCATCACATACACAGAGGTACAAGCAGAACAAAAACTGCAGTGGTACTTCCAGCCCTCCCTTCCTCTCTCAAACACAGGACATGACACACAAGAGTGGGTTATGAGACTTGAGAGGTCCAGTGACCAAGAACTTTGAGTTTCAAAGAAAAATAAGCAAGTTTACTACAACATACTCCCTCTTTTCCTTTTCTCATGATGCCTGTAAACAAGGTAGTAGTAGTGGAGCAGCTTTCCAGCTGAAGCAATTCTAGTTCCGTTTGCAAGGCTGATTTCCTTAAATCTGCAAGACATTTGTAATGCAGATCTAGAAACGGACAGAGAGCATGGGCTCCCATCTGAAAGAAGATACAGTGACAGACCAAAAAGCTGCAGCTAGGCACTTGCTTAAGTCTGAAGGTGGCGATTTTAAAACAGGGAAGAAAAAAGCTTCTAAAAATGGGATGTTTACGCCCACTGCTGTGCAAGATAAGAAGCCTGTGGAGGTCAGATATTTTGCTTTAGAGTTAGAGATCACCTTCAAGGGAAAAAAGCAAACAACCAGGCAGCTCAAACTCAGCTGTGTCACTGTGCCATGCCTACTCTTCAACAGCAATCCACAGCATCTGTGCATGTAAGGTCTCCCTAGATAATTATGGCTTTAGACCCATTCCTCTAGCTTTCCCACTGTAGAAAATCTTAAAAATAAAAATATCAAGTTTAAATAACCATTAGCTAGTGACTCCAAATCACTGCTACTTATAATAAGCCTTTTTAATAATTGTACATTGCTAATACATTATGGCGAGCAGTAAGACTAGAAGACTGGTAGTCCGATGAATGTTATGCTTCACTTCTAGTCAAGTCGCACTGCAGTCATGGCTGCACTTGACGCAAGGGAGCGCTATCTAATAAACAGCTTGTGAAGTCACTGGAAGAGAACAAGACAGACAGACAGTCAGGAAACACCACCAGGATACTGAGCCATGAAGTCCTGGAGCTGTTAGCTCTAAAAGACACAAGGAAGCAAAAATAATTTTCCTTAGGTCTTTCGTCACCAGCGAGAAGGTCACCAGAATACTCAGTGCCAGGAAAAACAGCTATTGAATTTATAGTATATAATTCCCCAAGACACCCTATAAGTTAATGAAGTCTGTGTGAGAGAACAGGGAAAGCAGCCTTTGAGGTAACACTGGACAATAAATCCTAGCAAGCAATAGGCAGTTCAGCTAGAACTGTCTGCGCGAGATGCAGTCAGCTTTAACCACAGGACAGGCAGACTGTATGAGAGGATCCAGTAGTTTTTACCACTTCAGGAGAAAGCTTTTTAACTGGGGGGGAGGCAGGGGGGAATGCTGATGACATTACAGTTAGTGCTGGTCCTATTTTTCTCACGAAAAGCCAAGACACCGAGGAGCACTTCTGCAGAACAGGGCCTCCATGGCAAGCTTACGGAGTTAAGACCATGTGGTCCTAGTCAAGGCTATCCATTGATAAGCCTAACATGAATGATTTTACCTTATTACAGTGCAATCAAAACACTTTGGTTTTCTCAACCAGGCACACTAGCAGCATGACATCATTAGGTAACATTCTGCCTCTGGCATCACATTGCCATTCCCTCGCTCCCCATGGGCTGCTTTCAACAGCCTCTAAATACTCAAACCACACTGTATTTCACAAGTGAGTCCCAGCACTGCGGCTATCCTGGCCACAACCTGCTACCAGCCTATGCAACGTTTTCCCTGATTTTTTTTTTTTTAACTTAGCTATTTTTTCATTATTAGTGTAGCACAACACAGCTGCTAAGTCCCTCTCAACACACAACTACTGAACTTGCAGGACCTGCACAACCAGATGGTAACATCAGTAGGTAATGCATGGTAACAGCAGTAGGTGATGCACAAGCAACGTTCATGACAGAGCGCCATCACCCATGGAAAACAACGCAAAAAACAGAGGACTAAGAACAGTCCTTACGGGCTACTATGCATAGCACTGACCAGCTGTACAGACACAGCCAGTTGTTCTCAGATCACCATTTACCTCCACTATACACTACAATGCATCCTTCAGAACCGCTTGGTTTTACTCAGATCTGGATTCCACCCATTATGATGAACAGTGGACAGGTCAAGTCATTATGCTGAACATCCTTGATATTGGCCACCCTGCTCTTCTTCACTCAATAGGTTTTGAAGTTAAGCAAACTCCATAGCACCATCTTGTGATAACAACCATCAAGTGCAAGGTAGGCATGGGGTGACCACCGAGGCCACACAGACCTAGAGGTTTTGTCTCAGCGACCTGCACTAGCTGCTTAGTGCTCAGCATCGCAATACTCACACCCGCAGTTGCCACCCAGCCGTTCTGCCTTAGTTACAGCAAAGCACACCTCTTTCTGCAGTCACGCACCGTTGCTTCCCCTAAGGACCAGGACTTAACGTATGTCAAGTCCTCAGTTCAGAAGAAAGACTGCTTTCGAGGCGTGCCTAAGTTTAAGCAGACCTTGTAACAGCAAGAGCATAAATACTCCAGAACATATGCTCAGTGGAAAAGGGAAAACAAATTTGTCACTGAACACACTGACAAGAAAGCCACCAACAACATTCACGTTACATTATCAACACTAACCTCTTTCACATTGGTTTCTATTAGAACTTTGTATTTCCCACCCTTTAGGTTTGGGGGGGGTGGGGGGTGGGGGGGTGTGGTGTATTGTGGTTGTTGGGTTTTATTTATTTTTTTTAAAAAAAAAAACAACTTTGAATCTAAAAAATGCTAGGTTCACCTTAATTATTGTTTCAATTTAAACAGATATAGCAAGAAAAGACCTAATCTGAGCTCAGTACCCAACCTTACAGTTCACCTACTAGACTACAAAGGCAATCTGCACCGAATCACAAGTGTCTCAGTGGAAGCCAGGAAACAGCTAGAAGAAGTATCGAGAGCTAGGAAGGTATTTCTGGAAAGGAGAGACAAGAGTTAAAGAGTAAGACTGGGTTGAAAGAACATTTCCAATGAAGGACCTCCTGCAAATAAAGCTTTCAAGAAGAGCAGGCCATCAAACGGCCGATTGTTGCAATGGCTGCCTGCTTCCAAGGAAGCCAGTGCTATGTTGGGTGGCTTGAATCTGCAGCCAAGTGAAGAACTAATTCAGAAGAGAGAGGATAAGGCAGGAAAAGCACACGCTACAGAAGCCATATTTGGGGTGGCCTTCCATCCATCATCTCGTTTTCACTGCTACAATAAAGGTAACTCAACTTTACACAAGCAGTGCTTCAAGCTGCTGTACAAACATGGGCAAGTCGAGACCTGTGTTACATCGAATGCCAATTTATGTTTTGTTTCATACACGGTTTGTTTCCCTCTATTCTGGCAGGAACAGATTTCTGCAGAAATTTAAATAAAAGGGTCTATTTTGACAAATAGTCAGCAACTCTGGAATTCATTTCTAGTTCTGCTTCTGAAAACTTGAGTCTTAGAAAAGAAGGCAAATATGTCAAGATTATTTGCTCTAGATGTCATGTCTAGCTTGTACTTGTACAGCTCTCAGTGTTCAAGAGAAGGAGTTTTACCGATGAGTTCCGATAGTCAAAGTGACAGAAAAGCTCGTTTTCCAGAAGTTACTCCTACGACCCCACTAAGGAAAAGCAGCTTTTTACCGATGAGTTCTGATAGTCAAAATGACATACAGAAGAGCTTGTTTTCCAGAAGTTATTCCTACGACCCCACTAAGGAAAAGCAGCTGTGTGACAATAACACAGTGTAGATTTATGGTTCTAGTTTACCTATTTTAAATACGCAACACGTGTTTGAAATTCTGGCATTTTCTTATAGCATGTAGCATAAACCAGAAGAAAACGACAGATAACTTGCCTTTCCCATCTGTTGCTGAAGCCTCCTGTAAATGTCTTATTGACCTGAAAAATAAAAATAAGAAAAAACCTAGATTAGCTATGATTTTTGCACTCCCTTTTCACTGCGACCCTGTAGAACTCTGACAAGTTGTTAGCTCTTTATGGCTGGGCTATTCTCATAATTAACTGTGCTTACCACCACATACATTTCACCCCCATCTCCCTGGCTCAGGCAGTTAGTTCAAGTATCTGTATCTCCTTGTGATTAAGAAAGCCGATTGCTAAAGCCTACTTCAGCCTACAGAAAGCTTTGTGGGAGGGAGAGAGCAGAATGAGAAACTGGGGCATTTTCCAGCATAATGCTTTCCACTTGTACAGTTAAGCTGAGCTACTATTCAGAGTACTGCCAAGCATTTGGCATCTTACTGCTCTTTTAAGCTCTTTTCATTTAAATAGTTGATTACAGCTTACGTGTCTACATAGGCAACTTATGTAACAGAAGCTACCCTGCAGGAATGTAAATTCAAGGGCCAAGTTTTAGTCACCTTGCTCACATGAGTCATCCCACCAGCTGCAGTGACACTACCCAGATGAAAAAGGGGCAGGATTTTATGTCCCAGGCTTCACTGCCAGTTTACGTTGGTACCGTGACAATGCAGGAACACCGGCTGCACACTATAAACACTTACAGAACAGCTCACCCAAACGCGTTTGTTCTTTGGATACAGCTCCTTTAAGGAATGCAAGTTTTGTACCAGCGTTATCACTAGGTAGGACTCATGGATTCTAGCATTAGGTAGTAAGAGCTGCGACTGTAGAAGTCACCTTTATCACAGGAAATCAGAGTCTCTCTACAATTCAAGTGGATATTCCCGCAGTTTTATTTGCCATAGCCAAATGCTCTCAACCTCAGAAGAGCTGCAGCACTTTGACTGGACTGGGGGAAGGACAAGTGGGTAGTGCAAATTTCTTGGAACATATTTCCCAGCCTTGGCAGAAGGCCACCAAGACCGTGTAGGGTTTTGACCTTACACAGAGGACAATTGGGAAGGTAAGGACAGCTGAAACCCACCCTCATAAGTCAAGCTGAAGCTTACTCCCACCTCCTGAGCAACATGTATGTGTCTTTACACACACACCCCCCCAAAACAATCCTCTGAAACACTCAAGAGTTGCACACTCTAGAGTGACGACATGTTTACTAGACAGACATATTCACTCTGTGTTTCAGAAAAAAATACTGGAGAAAAAGAAGAATATTCTGTGTTTACTAACCACAGAGCCAGAAACTCCTTCATATCCTCCTTTAAACCCAGCTGTTTATCCAATTAAGACTAAAATTAATTTGGAATAGATGTTCTGACTAACTGGCACGAAGCAACAATAGTGTTTATCTGAATTATCTGTGTTTTGGTCGAGTTTTATATAACCAACATTATTCCCTGCCAAGTAGAGTGGAAGGAAGGGCAGGGAAATGCTCCCTGTGGGATTATTTCTTCTAAACAGTCAAGTAAAAATGCAGCTACTCCGCTTGAAGGCAGCACTGATCTTAGACAGCACTAGTTTAGAATTTAGCAGCCTGGTTTCCAACTTCAGTCAGTAAAGCAAAACCCCTTTTCTCAATCTAAGAGAGTCAGCACTTCTGCTAAATTCCAGGTTTCAAAACCACCTCTGTCTGTACTGTGCTGGCCACACTTTAATCACCACCCACCTTACCTTATCCCCACTTTACATCCCCAAAACAAGTATCTTCCACAACACAAGACTGAAGTGTTAAGACTATACAGTTTAAAAAAAAAAAAGTTCATGGAACACTTGACTCCGAAGGACTGACTTTTTTGCTCTGGCAGTATCTTTAGCTCTAACTAGCAGTCAGTCATCGGTTCAGGAACAGCTCAAGCCGTCAGGGCTCAGAAACCACACAACACATACAGTGACTCACCATACCACTGGAAACAGGATGGCTCCACAACATAGCAAGTCTACCAGGAAGAGAATTTCTTTCCACAGTCCATATTCAGTTGTCCCCTCTTCTGTTGACTCTATAATAATGTATGCTACATTTGCCAGTACCTACAGGACAAAACATGCTTAATGGTTTCAGAAGCTTTCCAAGATGACACTAGATGTGGGCTACCAATGCAGTAAAAGCTGTCCCACAGTTGCAGAAAGGGCCTATTCAGTAGCATCAACAATTCTTCTGCAGCTCTATGTCAAGAAAGTCACACATTCAGCAGCATTTTCACAGAGTTTACAGAAAAAAACCCAACTGTGCCTGCTGACATTCAGAAGGTAGTCCTTTTTGTTATATACCATACTGAATGTACTGTAGAGATAAAAACAGCAAAATCTACTTATAAATATACAGAAACAGGACTTCGCATACACACAGATAGCAAACAGTCTAAATGTATTATTCGAAATTAAGCCAATAATTCAAACTGGTCATTGACTGCGTTTTGTACTCCACACCTGAGCTCTGCAAGAGCCTCAAACACTAATTCTATACTTCTAATTTTGCAGCTATGTAGGGGATTTCATCTGGAAAGGCAAAAAAGCTGTTCTATCTACAACAAATAAAAGCGCAGCTCTCATTTACTTCAGTTCCTGGAATAGGAAACAAGCACTAATCACTTTGAACACACTGGGAAAATTTCCCTCAGACTCAGACCTACAAGTCTTAGTTTTCTCTTTTTTTCTTCTTAAGCCCACAGCAAGCAGTTCAGAAGTGACAGCTGTCCTGGTTTGATTTAATTTCTCTGCTTAGTAGTTTAGTACTATTTCGCAGCCCAAGTTTTGCCCCAGCTTGAATATACCTACCTTACATCTAGTTGTTCACTTGCTGACACTATTTGATCACTATTATCTCACACTCAACACAAGGAGATAAGTAGGGAAAATTACAGAAGTAACTTCTGGCCCAGGAAATTCCAGCTCAACTGCAATTGTAACCAATAGGCTTATACAAGCAGTAACTATGCAGCATTTTGTGAAAGATTCACAGCATTTTACAGTTTCCACAAGCAGCTCTCCCACACGACAGTTAAGTATTGACACAGTTCAGTCCTCACCTGAAGTGGGATGACAATCATGAAAATTTTTTTGTCTTTATCTGACAGGATGTGTTTAATGAAAGCCCAGCCTGTGCCAATAAGGGCGATAGTGATGAACAGCAGAGCACCCTTCAGTCTGAAACAGAAAAAGATACTGTAGAGAGAGACTTTATTTTATCACACTACTACTTCTGCCCAGGTTCTCTCCTACAGTCAGTAAAGACACAATCCTAAACAAATGCCTTGCTAGTCACAATTTTGGGAAGTGCTCATCCTACAACAGTAAAGCAGATGTACTTGCCTACAACTGTGTATCACATAGCAATATTACACTTCATTCACAATTGTCAATATATGCAATCTTTTCCTGGAGGAGTCATCCATTCACCGTCGTGAACAGGAGAAAACACTGGCAGCTGTACCCTCTTACCATTCACACCAAGAGCAAATTAGATACTTGAATATTACTATGAACAAAGCAAAGCAAAGCATTTCTTATCCTTTTACTCCACCCACATAAGTATCAATTCTCTGCAGCTGCCCCTATAAGTACAGCTTTCCCCTTCACACAGGGCTGATTATTGTCTTGTCACTCAGAACGTAGTACCAAAGAATCAGCAATTTTCCAGTTCGCTCGGGAGGGGGGCAGCCCCACTGGGAACTCAGTTTCATTGTCTGAATCTATCACATCAATCTTCTGACATACTTACAGGTGAGTGATGTAATAAACAACAGCCCAGCCTTCAATTGGAAATCCCTGAGAAGAAATGTAGTGATAGTCGATCTGGAAGCAGAAAATACAGTGTGTTACTTCACAAACTGCTCACCAACTCCCCAGCCATGTCTATAAGACAGGTCAGCTCGACAGCCACTTCAAGTTTAATTTTCCAATCAGCACGTACAAACGCAGCTTGGTTACACCTCAGAGAATATTTCCTCCCAACATGTTCTAGTTTTGTTTAGCAACAATGAGGTCATTTCCATTTGCTGTATTTCCTAAGTGTTAGGGAATATAACTGATACAGTCTACATCCTTCCTACACAGCTCCCACACCTAACTACAGTTAAACAACTGCATTTGTAACCTATTTATTCATTCATTGTTCAGGTTCAGTTGCATTAGGTGACTAGAGTCTTTCCAGTTTCACTTTCACTAGAAACCAGGTTCAAATCATTAGACTCCAAAAATGTTTGTAGCAGTTACGCTATCATGAACATGAAGGTGAAGATCAAGGCTGGCACAAACACTGAAGGATTAAATGCTTGCTATTACCTTTATTTATGAGATCTTTTCAGTGGAAAGGCAACATCAATACAATTCAATAGAGACTTTATGTATTACAAGTGTCAAAGCTTATAGTGTTAGGTCTGTTATGGTACACCATAATACTTCATCTGAAGTAGCAGCCCTGAATTTTACAAACATTCATAAAATGGTTTAGGTTGGAAGGGACCTTAAAAGCAAATCACTTCCAAACAGCTGCACTTCAGTTCCAATGCTTCAAAACTCTCTCTCCATCCCATTCTCCCCCCCAAAGCAGATTTCTCTAATAGCATGCCCCAAATTCCTTGTTTCTACTTCCCAGCTGAACACTTAAAGCAGAGAAGTTATACGTACCGCATGGAAGACTAAAGACAGAGATTTTGTGAAAGGGAGGGCTGCCATTAGCCAGTGAATCTTAAAGACATCATTTCTTGGAAGAAAAAAAAAAAAAAAAGAAGGAAGAGCATCAATTAAAAGCCAGCAGTAAAACTTTCAGGTCCCAAGGGCATTTCTTTAAAACCTATAAACAAACAGTAACTCCCAGGCTGAGCTGACTATTAGGGTAAAAGGTTTCCCTTTAATGCCGCAGTCCAAGTTTCTGCAACATCCTAAACATCATTTCAACTACACGTTCTGCAACTCTGTTTTTTTAATACTTGGGTTAATTAAAAACAGTAATTCATAGGAACATCTTGCCTATATAGATCATAACAGTTAGAAAATTTGCTAAACATAATTCAAACACATCTTACTCCAACCTAAGTTCCCAAGTCACTATACCACACCACCAAGCGAACTCCAGACTACTAAATAATCTGATCACCAAATGAACTTCAGATTAAGTCAGAGGTAAAGCCAAAATGGAATCATAGTTGCTCCTCGCTTCTGTTGCTGCGCTTGAACTATTAAGCAGCAAGGTTTTCAGTTAGGAATTCCTACCACTTTCGACTACAATCAAAACATTTATGACTCTCCACTGCTATTGCCCATATGAAAAAAATTGGTCAAGTTTTTCTTGTTGTTTATTTTCAAATAGCATTCGCCTTTTTGTCATCAACTACAGAAGTTTCCTATTTATTTGTCGCCACAATGTATCGTAATATGTAGACTGCCTGATGGATTTCTTAATGTAACTTTAGAACAATAGTCTCCAACAATGATACTGAAAGAAGTAGTTGTTTTCAACTATAAACTGTATGTATCAGGCATAAAACTCCAAATCAGCTCAATATTTTAAGTGATTAAATCTGACTGTGAATTGCGCATTATAAGAGGGGGAACATAAAAAAATAAAAATCAAACAAGGTAGGCCCATACTTGTCACTGACACCAAACCAGTCCGCTTACCTACGTTTACGAAGTATGTGGATCCATACAGTCCCGGACAGGAAAAAGAAGATAGCCATGGAAATGTAAAGTTTTGGCAGTGGGATCTCACCTGCTGAAAGGTAGCTTTCAGGATTCTTTTCCGTAATTTCTATCTGAATATTAAAGGTGTGTTATGTGTACAGTTGAGAAAACATTTTATTAAAGCATTAAGTTAACAATTACACTTCAGAATCAAATTTGCTCATTTAAAATTAGCTTTTCTAAAGCAATGACTGTTATGAGACTCGAAGAAAAAAATGCAAAAGCAGCTTTTCATCCTCAAGAATCTCACAACGTTTTGCAAAGTTACACCCACAATAATAATTTCCTTGAAAAGCAGAAAAGGACAGAGGTTCCTTCCAGTGCTTCAGTTATGCAACATAATTCAGAAAGGCAAAATAATTTTCCCAAAGAATAGTTGTTCTCTATACCAAACTTCAGAGTTTGCCCACATTTGAGTCAGAAACAATATCTACAACCTTGCACAAACAAGCAGGTTTTTTAGCACAGTCCCAGTTTTGGGCGTGGAGAGAGTCATACATAGCTAAAAACCCCTCACTCTTCGGTTTACTACAGCGGATTTCTTCACCTGTCAAGAGAAAGGAAAAACTTTCCTGCAAGCCTATTACCCAGTGACTGAGGAAACAGAATCTTTATTTAACATCCTATTTATGCCCTTTAATGGCTTGGTTATATGTGCTAGGACTTCATTAAAATAATGCATCAGGACTAGCTTGCAGTACTGACACTGTCCTGCATCTCTAAGTAGAACCAAGCAGGTTAGTTATCCCGGTTATCTTCTCTTTCCAATTTCATCAGTGGATCAAAGCAACAAACAGCAATTAAAAGACTCAATATTCTAAACACACAACTTCAGAAGATGATTTAAAGTGGTCTAGGCTGAGTTAAGTTGCTGCTAGTTTTATCACCTACATGTTCCCTTTCTTTTCCTTTGCAGTAGTGTCAGCACAACCACGTACAAAGCAGTTCAGGGGTCTGATCTGGCTGAGAACTACCCCAGTCAATGAGGGGATTCATTACAGAATAACTCACTATAGACCATCGTGGATGCCAGCACGAGCACAGGAAAGAAAAAAGGGAAAGCCTGAGCTCTGGTAATGCACTCTGGCTCAAAAGAGCATAGTATCAAACCCTTGGATGCTAAAAGGGACAAGGCATTTACTATAACATATTGCCTTTAAGATGTGCATCTAACAGTAAAAACACATCTTTTAATTATGCCAGAAAAAGCAAACACAATGGATTCACAAATACCAACAATTTAGACTGTAGCAACAGCCCTAATACCTGCAATTGTGTAAAGAAAAAAGTTATTTTTGAGCCCAGCAAAACTCAAACAGCTGTTTTAGCTCCCATCTCATTACAGCATGTAGTCACAACTGTGTAGACTGAACCCAGCCCACACGCAGTCTTCAGATTTCCAGACATTTCTCCAAACCCAGTATTTTAATTCTTTTTACTGTAGTTGCTTCCTTCAGAAATTCCACCACAGAGATTAAATACCCAACTCTGAATCACTTCCCACCCCACATATACACTCATGTACAGCACGCGCTTGGTATACAAGCTGGCATTGAAAGCTGTGTATTTCCATCTAAGTGAATGAGTTAATTATACTTTAGAAGCTATACTCACATCAAGACTAAATAGCTGCTGATCATTAGTCGGCCCACCATTGCCAAAACATTTATGGAAATATAGGCTGTAGAGACCTTCTTGGTTATCAGAGCTGATGTTGAAGAAAAACTGAAAATAAGAAGTAGGAAAGTCAGCATTCTTCTCTTTCACAGCAGGGTTGCCCTGGTAAGAAGCCATCTCTACTGAAGCATGAAGAGAGTCAGTCATTTAGGGTCAGCTGGTTCCTTTCAGCAAGCACACTGTTCTGAGGATACCAGCACATCTGCAAGTTTCAACAGAATTCCAGATGCAGAATCATTGTACTTATCTATGATTGTGCACTCTGGCAATCCAAGACCTTTATCGAAGACTTTTCAGTATCAGTGTTAATTTACTTCACCAGAGAAATGTTAACAAGAGGTGTATATCTAACATGGTGAAACATAACATTTTTATCTTGCTTGCCCTAAAGCATAGGCAGCTGTTTTGTTCCTCCTCCAACTATATAAATTGTGATAGCTACAGAAGGGATATTTGTGACACATAACAGAATGTAAAATGTCTTTGTGGTATAGTAACCAACAATCATAAGTGAACCAGGGTGCTGAAACAAAGTGCTAATCTGGTTTCACGCAAAATATCTTCCTCTTAAGTGAGTCAGTCAGGTCACAACTATCTGCTGTTGGAAATCTGCATGCACTAGTTGCGCCACAGTAAACTTTAATGTGCTGAGCCGCACAGTAAGATATTTACAACTGCATCATACCAAAACCACAGTAAACTTAGACTGTGTGGCTCAGCACATCAAAGATATTTACAACTGCATCATACCAAAAACAGTTTAAAACAACTCTCGTGCTTTATGAGGAAAGAGACTTCCAGCACTTATTCTTAACAAGAGTCCACTCAAAAAACTTCCTGAGCATCAGAGAGACATCTATACCAGACTTTTACTTTTCACAAAGTAGTACAGTGAAGGAACTGCCAGCACACATTAAGACCAGACACTGACGGACAGCTTACCTGAAATGAAAAAGTTCCTCTGTCATTATGAACAGGATGTTCTTGTTCTACCATGCTCTGGGAAAAGGAAAAGAGACTTTTAGATTTTTTTAAGCAAGTAACTACCACATTTGCCTGCATCATCCAGGCAATCCAAACAGCATTCTGCATATTTAGAGTGGAGGCTGAGAGCAACAGAAAATAATGCTCTCCACTTCCTGGCTATGCTTATACTGGAATATTCCCCCAGATTCTTTCTGAAAGAGAACAGCAGACAGTTTCTTACCTGTGAAGATGATGTGCTTTGTTTGGACTTCTCATCTAGAGATAAAAGTATTAATAGTACATTTAGAGTGTTTGCATTTAGACATCCTCATAGACTACCACCTTTTACACACTGCCAATACCTTACTCAAATCTTCCTATACTTGTCTGCGTGGCAGTTTCCTAGATAATCATTAACAGAGATCCTTTCCCAGTCTCTCCTTACTCTCCCAGGACTCTTCCCGCAAACAGCATTCATTCTAGGTACACCCTCAAATGCCAGGACAGGCTTCTCTACCATTACACCTTCTACAAAAGCCGACCCAAGAAATCTTCCCAACCCTTCCAATTACAGGGATGCACTTGGCAGATAACCTACACCAGCTGCAGTCTACAGCTACAACTTTTAATGATATCACTGAATAATCTTAATGTAGACATTAATACGTGGCCTGGCAAATATATGGAAGTCCTAATTAGGCCTGGGGAAGGAAAAAGTTCCCAGCCCTTTACTAAGCAAAGCCCCAGAAAAAAAACCTGAACAAAAAACCTAAACAAGAAACAAAAGCTCAGGTGACCTGCCAAAGACGCAGAAGTTCAAGACTTAAGCTTCGCTTTTAGCTCCCGCACATCAGTGTGCTGTCCACGTGCATGCTACACTTTTTAATGCACGAAAAATCAGAACTAGAGCTGTCAAATCAATCTTCAATGCCATCCAGCTTTAGTTCTTGACTTGTTAGAACAGCTGTGCACAATCTTCACCTATACCAAAGCTTATAGACATGACATGGAGAGACAGACTCAGACTACTTCAGATCAGATTGCTACACTTCTAAACTCTTCCAGGAAGAGAGAACATGAACTGTTTAGAGCTAATCTCAGCTCTGACTGGATTATCGAATTGTTTCGTCTGCTGGTCTAGAAGCCAGATGAAGACTTGTCACTGGTACAGTTACTTCTTCATCCCCATAGCTTCTAAGTGACAGACTAGATTTCAACTCTTTAGATAAAGAAGATCATAGAATAGAAATGTTGACTGGAAAGTACCTGTGGAGGTATTTAATCCAACTTCTGACTCAAAGCATGCCTAGTATCAATAGTATATCACACTGACCCTGGCTTTTAGTCAACTGTTTAAAACCTCAAAGGACGGGGGGGATCTACAACTTCCACATATGATCTGCTACAGTGCTGCAATACCCACCTAGGAAAGTCATCTTTTCCCTTCTAGCATTCAATCTGAGACACCCGAGACTTAAAAAAGGGGAACGGCCACACGTTGCAGTGTGCCATTACTAGAAATAGCTTGGCATCACTGCCCTTCTACCCTTCCTTCAACTACTTGTTGGTGGCTTCCAGATTCCCCCCAGCCTTCTTTTTGCGAGACAAAAGACAAGCAAGTACCTCAACCCCTCCTCTCACAGGTACTGTAGGTCTCCAACAGTCATGTTACATCTCTGCTGGATCAACAGAACAGAAATCACTGAGCAGGAGAGACTCCAGCCCAGAAGAGAGCTCCTACGCACAGGCTGACGCAAGACTACGCATCAAGTTCTAGCCCAAGGGGACCCCAGGATGTGACCACAACACACCGCTGGATGCACATCAAAGAGGAACCAGCGGTGAGAGCATACATAGGTCTGGTTTAGCAGGCTTACCTTTACTGTCTGTGTTTTGGTTGGTCTTTGCAGGATTTTTACCAGAATCACTGCTCTGTTCAGACGTTTTTAGCAGCTTGGTACTTAAGGCAGTAACATTTTCCTCAGACAGGAATGAAATTTTAGGTAACAAAGAGGCAGCTTCTGCAGAGAATCGTACTTTCACACTAAATAAACAAAGAGTTTTTATACAAAATGAAAGCAAATAAACATTCATAGAGAGGCTGTCATCGCCTACATATACCAAACAAAAGAAAATCAACTTTTCTTGACTTGGTTTTTTTTTTACCACAGAGAACAGGCAATCACCAGATCATGACTTAAAGCAGCTCAGCATTGAACTGGTCACCGTAGAACAAGTCACACTATACGTTTACATCAAATACAAGAGCAGCTGAAGAAAAATAAGTTTATTCAGTTTTAGTAACCAGTCTCATTAGAAATTATGTTTCCACAACAACAGTTACAGTTGTTCTTGCAAAAGCAAGCAACACAGCCTCGAAGGTAGTTCCATAAAATAGATAATTCAAGATAAACAATAAAATGGCATATTCAGGGCAAGTGCTGCAGAAGTGACCCAAGACTTCAAGTTCATGCCTTCAGCACAATTAAGATATGATTTTTTTTTTGCCCTATGTCCCCTTATCCCTCCAGCAAGAATTCTTGGACCATTTTATACTGCAGATTTTTTTTTTTTTCTTTCTCTCTCACCTCCCCTCAGCTCTCAAGTAACCCATTAAAAAAAATAAACTACATGCACAGCAGTTTTCCAAGCCCTTAAAAAAATTCCACAAGTGTTACATTGAAGTTATTCCTCTGGTTGAAGCTAAAGTGTAGTGTACACTATTTCACTATTTACTCACACTTCAGTATTCAAGTCCAGAAGTAAGATTACAATGGAGAGATCTTGCTCTGGTTTCTTTTTCAAGATACAGTAATCCGCTTCTTCATCCTGGTGATATAAGCAAAACATCTCTGAAATGCCCTCCTGTTTATAAGAAATGGGACACATTCTCCCCCAGGTAGAGGTCACCATCCTTAGTCCAGCAAATTGTAAAATTGAATTATCCTTAACAAGCTGCCCATGTCCAAAGCCCCTCCACCTTTTTTTTATTTTATTTCTTCCAACTGTTTCTGGAGTAGGGTAGATTATGAGATATCTCCAGCTTAGAAAACTAAGTTCACACGTCTTACTCTTACCAGGTAAGTGGAGAACCCATCATTCCTTGTTCGATCCAAACTGAACCCCACCTATGAGACAATTGAGAAGAACCTGTCAAATTAAAACAGCTCAGGTTCCCCTACTATCACAAGCCAAACCACCACTGAACGAGTCAAAGCAAACTTGCTGATGGTACACTCTATCCCTTCATTACGTTTAGTAATAAAGAGGCTGAACTGTGCAGAATAGTGAGAACACAGGTCTATTTTCTACCCTAGTATTTCAGTCTCTCTATTGAAATCACTAATATAAAATACCATGTAACAACTAATGTTAGAATCCTCTAAAAAATAAGACAGTCACTGTTCTGGAAACCTACTGATATAATGATTACAAGGTGTATTGTAATGCAGCAGGACAACAATGTTAAAATCTCACATCAGAGGAATGCTTAAGAAACCTACGTTCAATATAGGTTATAGATGTGTGCATCAAGTTCAGTAGAGGATCCGACAAGTTAGGTTATCCTTAAAGCAGAATGGATAGTGCTCAAGGATAAATCTCACAATACACATATCCTCCTAAACAGCTCACAGCAGGGAGCACAGCCAACAGCACCAGCAGTTAGGATGTGACACCTCAAACAAGTTAAGGCATCCAGTGCAAGGGCAGTTTCACAGGAAGCTTAATACAGTCATTGGACTCGAAGTAACTTACTGATAAGCTGCTCTTGTCATCAGAGCCCACAGGTGGCTTCAATGAAAGGTTGCTGACATTGACTTTCATGAAACCATCCTTGAAGAAGCCAAAGGTATTCAGGTGCACTTTCTGCCTCACATCATCCTGTAAAAAAGGAAAGCAAGTTTACAAATCACATCCACAGCCATCTGCAGCAGCAGTCAAAGTGGAAGCAGGGTGACACAGATTGACACTTAAGTATCCATGCGAAACATCTATCTGATCTTACCAAGAGCAAATTTCTTCAATACCTTCAGATACAACCAATTAATTCACTGGGACTGACCAACTCTTCCAATAACCTGAGCAGCAAGAACTTTAAATAAATGTGTCTTTGCTAATTACCTGGCTATACTACTGGAAAAAAGCCTGGAGGAAGTTAAATATCTCACATCACTGATTAAACAAAATATTGCTACAAAAAAAAGACTGTAGACAAGTCAAGACAACTATTGTTTGAACACTACTGTCATTTCAATAAACTGAAGAGGAATTAGTTGACTATAATGATCTTACTTAACAGAGCTGGGTTTTGGCCAAGAGTTTAACACTTATCACAATGTACTGTCATCCCATCAGGTCTTCTGTTAGGCAGAGTCAATGTTTGGACAGTCAAACACCTAACACACTGCAAAACTACACATATGGGTAGATGAGAAGATTTCTTATGCAGTCCCATTCCTCCAAATGATCTTTAGCAAGGCCTTGTGTCTTTAAGTAGGAGATATACCAAAAAATGGGTATATGGGTTTCAAGAGAATCACTTGGGTTAGTTTCCCTAAAATGAGAATTCCAATCCCTTCTTTTTCTCCCAGTCTTAGCCACAGAATAACTGACTTCCTCTCAGCCTGGTGATGAAACAGTAGAAATTGATCCCTTTATCCCTTGCTCAGCTGATAAAAGTTCAAGTACAGCGAGGTGTTGGTTTTTTTTTTTTTTTTTAATAAGATGATCATGAAGGACCTATGAAAAGCAGTAAGCATTCCACACAGCTGCCACATCAGATGAGGAAAGGTCATTTTGCATTCATAAATCAATAAATAGGTATGGAGTTGAACCCTCAATCCTACAGGATCATCAATTGGAAGAAAAGCAAAAACAGAACAAAAAAAGTTAAAAAGCGAGTGTGTTTTAAAGCACTTTTACAAGATGTCACTAAAAATAAGAAAACCGCTTTTTCCTCATTTCTTCTAGGAAAAGATAGTCAGATTGCAGAATACCCTAAGCAGAGAAGTCGTCTCCTAAGGGCAAAC